GTTTCCGGTGGAAATTTTTGATAAAATTTTTTGATCACCTTCTTCATTAAGTCTAGTTTAGTCATATCCAATTTCAGATTAAAACTCAACCGAGAAGGCAGTCAAATGATTTTCTAAAATATACTGCGTTGTTTTTTTTTGAAAGGATATAGTGCGTTGTTTAACTGCACAGTTATCTTCAAAAATTCATTTGACTGCCTTCCCGATTGAATCTTTAGCTGAAATTTGGTATGGCTAAACTAGACTTAATGCAGAAGATGATAAAAATTTCATCGAAAAATTCCACTGGGAACCTCCCCAAATGGCGATGGCCGGACATAACCTCTTATATAAGGGCTTGTTTACATTTTTTTGGTTAGTTCGAGGGCTTATTTGCCTCTTTTCCCATAATAATAATCTTGTAACTTTAAAATGAAACGATATAGAGGCCGTTTGGTAACACTGAAATTGGCTGATTCTGCTAAAATTTATGAAGTTATGGCTGAAGTGGTTAGATTGAATGATTCTGCTGATTTATATAAAATTATATTTAAAATATTTTTTACTAATAAAATAAAGAAAATGTCATATGAAAAATTAGCTAAAATCATCCTCTACAGTAACTTCGGTCAATACAGCCAGAAAAGTAACTTCAATCTTATTTTTTCTTATTATTACACAATTCAGCACGCGAAATCAAAGGTTACGTGTTTGATAAAAAAGTTGGCTGATAAACCAAAAAACGGGATTACCAAACGGGTTCATAGTGTTTTGTTGCATGATACTCCGTAATTGTTAAAGGATGGTTGGACGGAGAAGTATGTGTCATCATCTTTTTGTACAAGATGCAATTTCTCTCGGATTTATTTATTGAAAAGGGTATAAAAAAAGATACTTATGGTTGACTGTATTTAAAAAAAATGGGTTTGAGATTCATATTTTCACAAAAATGAAGAACGTGTCTCAATTTAGGGTTCTCTATCTAAACGCGTAAAAAAGAAAACGACGTGAATATATAAAAAAGTCACATTTCACATTCTTTTTTAGAAAGTTTAGATGAAAACTCCATAACTTTTAACGGATTGAAAACACAATTCATACTTTGTGAGAAATGAATCTCAAACTCATATTCAAAAAATTTCATAATCGCAAATACATTTTTTGTACTTTTGCATTATTAATTTATTTATTTTAAGAAAATCAAACCACAAAACTCTTTTTTTTTGCACTTTTTCCCCATATTTATTTATTTATGGAATTTTATCAATTCAGGACCCGAAAGATAGATTAATTATCAATTCAGGACTTGAAAGATGAAACGTATTGATATAGGACCCAAATGATGACAAACTATCAATTTAGGACCTAAATGATTGGAAATTATCAATATAGGACCTAAGTTGTCATGAATTTTATTATTATTTTTATTTTAAAAAAAATTAAATATTAATTAGTTTTATTAAACTAATAAACTTTCGTGAAGAAAAGTTTATCAAAAATTAGTAATGGATTTAATAAAAAATTAAATAAATCAAAACCTAGAAAATATTAGGTCCTAAATTGATAGTTGTCCATCATTCGGGTCCTATACCGATACATTTCATCTTTCGGGTCCTGAATTGATAATTAATCTATCTTTCGGGCCCTGAATTGATAAAATTCCATTTATTTATTTAAACAAAACCAAAGGTCAAAATTTGAGAATGCCGCTAAAGCATCTGAAAGGCTGAAACAGGGGAAAAGGTTCTGATAAAATTCACAAATCCACCACCACAATCACCCGCAGAAAGGAAATGCCGGTTTTCAAGACACCCTTCAATGGCTACTCTGTGAAATTCAGCCCATTTTATGAGAACCAACTAGCCGTCGGCACGGCCCAGAATTTCGGCATCTTGGGTAACGGCCGGGTCCACGTCCTCCAGCTCAACCCAAACGGGCCAATCTCCCAAATCGCCGCTTTCGACACCGCCGACGGCGTCTACGACGTGTGCTGGTCGGAGGCCCACGATTCCCTGATCATCGCAGCCGTGGGTGACGGCTCAATCAAGCTCTACGACCTCGCTCTGCCGCCCACGAACAACCCCATACGGTCGTTCCAAGAGCACACCAGGGAAGTCCACGCCGTTGACTACAACACCGTCCGGAAAGACTCGTTCTTGTCGGCTTCTTGGGATGATACGGTGAAGCTCTGGACCGTTGATAGGAATGCCAGTGTAAGGACTTTCAAGGAGCACGCTTACTGCGTCTACTCTGCCACATGGAACCCCAGACACGCCGATGTCTTTGCTTCAGCCTCAGGCGATTGCAGTGCCCGTATTTGGGATGTCCGGGAACCAGGTTTTTACCTTTGTTTTTCTATTTCCAGTTTTTTATTCGTTTGGGATGTCGTCATTTTCGTTTCAGTAGCATCCTACTGAGTAATAGACGAAGTATATAGTTTCAAATGCAACAAATTAAAACACCAGTTAATCTGCTTAGAGCTGGAAATGTGTATAGTAGTAGAGGATGCTTTGATTACTTTGAAAGTGGCCCTAAGAAATAAATTGGTTACAAATGGGGTGCTTTTGAAATCTGGTTGCCTGGACGGGTCCAAGATAAGAAACAATCAGAGAGCACCTAGGTGGAACAAGACATGGGTTTTTAGAACAGTGTTCTCTCTAGGCGTGGGGGGATGGAAATGATAGTTTTACTGGGAAAGTTGCAGTTAAATACTTACTACCTGAGTGGTATTATATGTTTCCTACTTGTGATTCATGAATGAGGACGCAAGACGGGAGGTATTCATAATCAATTCTCCATCCCACCATAAGGTTTATGACATTCTTTTCTGTCTGTCCCGAAATAAGTTTTTTGGTGAAAGATTCGTGTGGTTGATTATATTTTTCTGTATAATTAAATCTCAAACACTATTTTGCAGTTATTAATAAGCGCGCAAGTCAAACTAAGAACCTTATTTTGGATAATGGGGAGTTATATTTTGTTACAGTATCAGTGAATCAAACTTATACATTTGGGGACTAAATAAAAATGAATTTTAAACCACACAAAAGTGAATCTAAAAGTTATTGGAAAAAATTGTTGAAGAAATTGAACAAATAAAAATGAAGAATTGTTTTTACCAGTAAATAGTATTCCCTCCGTCCCGCTAAGATTGTCCCATTTTTCCTCTTCGGTCCGTCCCACTAAGATTGTCTCATACCAAATTTAGCAAATTTTGTGTGCTTCTAAATCATTCATACTCTATTCTTACTTTATCAATTCAAAATCAACCACATAAACCCACTTTTATTGGTATGCGTGTCACCCCCTCTTGTACCGTTGTTAGTGGGACGGAGGGGGAGTACTATGTAACTAAAACAGAAGAAGTACTAGGTACATCTTGGAAAGTTCATTACTTGGAAGCTCAAAAGCTGTGGAGTATGGGTTAAGTTAATCACACAAACTGCTTTCTATAGCTGAAAATGGAAAGATAATCTTCACTTATAGTATGTTTGAAAACTACTCCATTTATTTTCGGATAGCTGGATGGAAATCTTGCATTCTACATCTCAGAAGCTATGTCTCTCTTACAACTAACTTGGGTTGGTCTTGGTAGATAAGAAGTTCATGATCTTTTTTACAGGTTCAACCATGATTCTGCCTGCACATGCGCATGAAATCCTCTCATGTGATTGGAACAAGTACGATGAATGTATCATAGCAACTGCATCGGTCGACAAGTCAATAAAAGTTTGGGACGTGAGGAGCTACAGGGTGCCGATATCTGTGCTTAATGGGCACGGGTATGCAGTTAGGAAAGTGCGCTTCTCACCACATAGAGGAAGTGTTCTTTTGTCTTGTTCTTATGACATGACGGTTTGTATGTGGGACTATATGGTGGAAGATGCTCTCATTGGACGGTATGATCATCACACTGAGTTTGCGGTTGGGGTGGATATGAGTGTTCTTGTGGAAGGGCTTTTGGCAAGCACGGGTTGGGACGAGCTTGTTTATGTTTGGCAGCATGGAATGGATCCTAGATCTTCGTGATGAAGGAGAAGAGAAGAGAAGTCCTCTGTTTTTTATTGGTCTTGAGGAGGGAGATATGCTTTATTTGTTGTTTGCGATACCATCAATGAGTACGAAAGGAAGTGATATACTGAGAAAATAATGCATTTGCTTTCACCTTCCCATGTAAGGAGGAAACAAGTGAGATTTCACATTTCATCTTTGATTGGATGATACCTATAGACATAATTGTATAGGTCATGGGGAAAATACTGTAATGATCAGTGTCATGCCAATTAATTTACAAAAAATTGTTTGCACGCACTCTTATACTCACTTTTGTAGTCACCCTGTCTGTGAGGAGTTTTTTTTGTCTATAAATCCCGGTCACAGACAAAATATGTCTATGCAAATTATTTTGTAAAAAACTCCTCACAGACATGGTGGGTATAAGGTGGGTATTAAAGTGTGTACAAGAAAAAACTTTCTTAATCTCAAAATATTGAGCCACTCACTTCACATTTTGTGTCATTACTCATTTACTCCCTGGTAGTGCTGGACTCGGGCCGGGCGGCCCGGCCCGGAACCGGCCCGGCCCGGTTACTGTTAGGCCCGGCCCGGCCCGGGGCCCGGTGGGTCCACCGGTTCGGTTCGGCCCGGCCCGGCTGCTGGGCGGTTCGGGCCCGGGCCCAGGTTTTGGTGAACCGGCCCGGCCGGTTCGGGCCCGGTCCGGGCCGGATTTTAATTTTTTTTTTTTTTTTTTGAAATTTTTTTAAGTTTTAGGTTGGATTAGGTATTTTGGGCCATTTGAGGTGGTTTGGGATGGTTTGGGGTTGAGGGGGAGGGGTAGGGGATTAAATAGGAGACCAAAAAAAAAAAAAAATTAAGTGGGCCGGTTCGGCCCGGCCCGGCCCGGCCCGGTTTGGCCCGGAACCGGAACCGGAACCGCCCACCGGCGGTTCGGGCCCGGGCCCTAGTTTTCTGGCCCGAGGCCCGGCCGGGCCCAGGCCCGAACCGGGCCCGAACCGGCCCGAGTCCAGCCATACTCCCTGGTGCCTTTTGAGTTTTGAGTATATCACGTTCATAGTAAACACTCTTTCTAAAAAAAGGATGACACCCCATCCCTGAGGGCCCCCACCACCGACCGGACGGCACGATGAGAGGATGTAAATTGGACTATAATCACAATCTGACAGATAGAGAGTGGGGCTCTGTCCCCGGTACTTGCAGAGACCCTATGCATTTTTCAGCATAGTAACCCCTCATCGCAGTTGCCGGGATTCGAACCCGAGACCTAACCCTTGTGGCACTCCCTTGCTACCAGTTGAGCTACTCCCACCCGTTAGTAAACACTCTTTCTAAACATATTGTTGTCTTGTTGATGATGGATCATCGTTAAGGCGTTGCAAGGTTGTTATGGACTTATGGTCCACTAGCGGATCAATCCTTCAGCCTACCTATGGGCGGTGGCCCAAAAGACCGGTCTTTGCTTGTGGGCCATTGGTCAGCCCAACATACTAAATTTTTTTGGGAAATGTTTTTAAAATCCAATGAACCCATCCTGGCCCACCCAATACCAAAGTAATTGGCCTGGAGCCCTGGATCGTTAAACACAACTCAACCCGATAAGTACTAGTATTCCACTTATGCACTCTAAACATATTTTAAACAGATTTTTAGAAATCAAAATGGGAATTAGAATAAATAATTTTTAGTCGAGTGGTCCACTAAATGGAAGTCCATCGGCCTATCACGGTTCTATTTCAGATTTGCGTGATTTTCAAGTTGAACTTGGGCTTCAATTGCCGTTCACATTTCAGAAAATGACCCACATACCAACTTATGCTCATGAGCCATTTGATAACTGTTTTGGGCTTAATGTAAATTGGGGATCAACTTAATTATGTGTTGACCACGGTCTTGCCATTTTTGGATGAATGATCATTTGCCGCAACGATCTATTGAACGCCCTACATGTGGGCCGTTCATTAGACGTCTAGACCACTATACAAATTTGTACATAGAGAGGTTTATGCAAATTTGAATTTGAACAGGTAGTTGATATTATATTTAAGAACTTTGTAATGTTAATAAACCTATCTATCAGTGGGAATTAAACTATCTATCATGCTCTAATCAATATGAAATAATTTTCTACCTGAATTAAAGGTTTCAAATACTATAAATACTCATCACCCTTTAATACTTCAATAACTATGGCAGACTTTGAAAGTTCACTTTAACATTCAATACTAATTTCCATTAAGCTCTACATTAGTTATTACACTCTTTCAGTAAGTGTTGAGATACGAAATTAAATAGGTAGATTAAGCAAGACACATGTTCATCACTTTCACATCTAGCTGCATAAGAGCTACTGCGCATCATTGTCAAGCTTTACTTAAACTCTGATATACTTGTACATCTCTAGATTTCTGATTGTAATTATTCTTAGGACACGTTTACTTCAAAGGTTATTAAAAGGTGCTTATTAAGACTCGCGTTAATAAGCGACGCATAAACTAAGCAGTGTTGTAAGCTCATTGTTGAGTTTAATCCAACACGATATAATAAATATATGTATGAACACTCAGTTTTTACGTGGAAACCCGAAAGGGAGAAAACCACGGGACTTTTTAGGCTAATGTCCAAGCCCTCTCATTCTCATTAGACTCTCCTCACCATTACATAGTACAATTTGAGCTCCATTAATGGAATCTTGCAAAACTATTCTAAAGGAAGAAGGAAGAAGGAAAGATCCCTAATATGGAGGGAAACTCCCATATTTATAGAGAATAGGGGAAGGGGATGCTCTCCGCCCTAATGGGCCGCATGGGCCGGAGTGGACCCAAATGGCTAAAGTGGGCCGGATGGGCCGAAATGGGCCTAGCTGCTCGGGCTCCGTACTACGTAAAGCCTTGGACTCCTGAACAGTAATAGGCCGGGATAATATATCCCAACACAAGTCCCCCAGTTTCTTGAGTAGTGAGCTCGCGAATCTGCTCGAGAAAATATACTCTTGCCTGCGCTCTTCCTCTGTCTTGCTGGAAACTGTGTCTTCGAATAATCATAATATACGAGTGGATGTCCACACTCCTGAACGTAATCTGCCAGTGAGGCACCCCCGTTCCCAACGGGGTTGGGCGAAGGGTGCTCCTCCACGGGCACGCTCCCCCTGAATGCATCAGGCGAGAGTAAAGGACTCTGACTCGAGCTTTCCAACGGAGAAGCTTAGAGGTCCATGCATCTATAAACCGACGTCGCGGTACTGTCAAAACATGATGCACGTGTGTATGTATGAATGTATGAGGTATGATGCATGAATGCATGTAATGTATGGGTGCAATGTATGAGAGAGAGAATACAAGATGTGATAGGAGCGGTAGCTCTCATCGATAAACCGGGCATGTCAGCGCCGAGAGGCAGACGTGCTGCATAAGAGACGTTCGTCGCCATCCTGAAAGGGATGGGCGACCCTAACGTGAGCCAGACACGATGGCGCTGGGGCGCTGATCGTGCTGCATAAGACACGTTCGTCGCCATCCTGAAAGGGATGGGCGACCCTAACGTGAGCCAGACACGATGGTGCTGAAGCGCTGATCGTGCTGCATAAGAGACGTTCGTCGCCATCCTGAAAGGGATGGGCGACCCTAACGTGAGCCAGACACGGTGGCGCAGGGGCGCTGATCGTGCTGCATAAGAGACGTTCGTCGCCATCCTGAAAGGGATGGGCGACCCTAACGTGAGCCAGACACGATGGCGCTGGGGCGCTGATCGTGCTGCATAAGAGACGTTCGTCGCCATCCTGAAAGGGATGGGCGACCCTAACGTGAGCCAGACACGATGGCGCTGGGGCGCTGATCGTGCTGCATAAGAGACGTTCGTCGCCATCCTGGAAGGGATGGGCGAGCCGAACATGAGCCAGACACGATGGTGCTGAGAGGCCGATCGTGCTGCACAAGACGGTCGTCGCCATCCTGGAGGGAAATGGGCGAGCCGAACCGTGAGCCAGGTACGATGGCGCTGAGGGGCCGATCGCACTGCATAAGACGTTCGTCGCCATCCTGGAGGGAATGGGGCTATCCGAACGTGAAAGAGACACGATGGCGCTGAGAAGCCGATCGTGCTGCACAAGACGGTCGTCGCCATCCTGGAGGGAAATGGGCGAGCCGAACCGTGAGCCAGGTACGATGGCGCTGAGGGGCCGATCGTACTGCATAAGACGTTCGTCGCCATCCTGGAGGGAATGGGCAAGACGAACCGTGAGTCTGGACACGATGGCGCTGAGGGACCGATCGTGATGCATAAGACGTTCGTCGCCACCCCCGGAAGGGATGGACGAGCTGAACGTGAGCTGGGTACGATGGCGCTGAGGGGCCGATCGTACTGCATAAGACGGTCGTCGCCATCCTGGAGGGAATGGGCAAGACGAACCGTGAGTCTGGACACGATGGCGCTGAGGGGCCGATCGTGATGCATAAGACGTTCGTCGCCACCCTGGAAGGGATGGACGAGCTGAACGTGAGCTGGGTACGATGGCGCTGAGGGGCCGATCGTACTGCATAAGACGGTCGTCGCCATCCTGGAGGGAATGGGCGAGCCGAACCGTGAATCTGGACACGATGGCGCTGAGGGGCCGATCGTGATGCATAAGACGTTCGTCGCCATCCTGGAAGGGATGGACGAGCTGAACGTGAGCTGGGTACGATGGCGCTGAGGGGCCGATCGTACTGCATAAGACGGTCGTCGCCATCCTGGAGGGAATGGGCAAGACGAACCGTGAGTCTGGACACGATGGCGCTGAGGGACCGATCGTGATGCATAAGACGTTCGTCGCCACCCTGGAAGGGATGGACGAGCTGAACGTGAGCTGGGTACGATGGCGCTGAGGGGCCGATCGTACTGCATAAGACGGTCGTCGCCATCCTGGAGGGAATGGGCAAGACGAACCGTGAGTCTGGACACGATGGCGCTGAGGGGCCGATCGTGATGCATAAGACGTTCGTCGCCACCCTGGAAGGGATGGACGAGCTGAACGTGAGCTGGGTACGATGGCGCTGAGGGGCCGATCGTACTGCATAAGACGGTCGTCGCCATCCTGGAGGGAATGGGCGAGCCGAACCGTGAATCTGGACACGATGGCGCTGAGGGGGCCGATCGTGATGCATAAGACGTTCGTCGCCATCCTAGAAGGGATGGACGAGCTGAACGTGAGCTGGGTACGATGGCGCTGAGGGGGCCGATCGTACTGCATAAGACGGTCGTCGCCATCCTGGAGGGAATGGGCAAGACGAACCGTGAGTCTGGACACGATGGCGCTGAGGGACCGATCGTGATGCATAAGACGTTCGTCGCCACCCTGGAAGGGATGGACGAGCTGAACGTGAGCTGGGTACGATGGCGCTGAGGGGCCGATCGTGCTGCATAAGACGGTCGTCGCCATCCTGGAGGGAATGGGCGAGCCGTACCGTGAATCTGGACACGATGGCGCTGAGGGGCCGATCGTGATACAGAAAAATAGTGATGATCATCTCATGGCCCTCGGCCTGTCGGTGAGTGGTAATCGTCTCACGGCCCTCGGCCGTGCTGGTGATGTGTCAAGTCTCTCTCCTGATTGGCTGTGAGAAGCCGATCGTCTGCCAGGACTCCATCCGGGAAGGAATGGTGAGCCTGAAATAAATCTGGGCGATGTCCCTTCTACCTGATCTGGGGAGCTAATCGTCGTTCGAGGCAAAAGAAAACCTGATGTTAGCCGATCGTCGTCGGCCACTTCATTCTTCGTACTTAAGTCTTGTAATTATTCTTTACATATGTTTTTCAGTTTGTACTTCCCGGCCAATAGCGCCGAGGGATAAAATCATTCTTTGCTCCGTGCTCTTCTGGCATCTTTCTTTCTCTTTTTTTTTTTTTTTTTTTTTTTTTTTTTTTTTTTTGGAGTCTTTTAGTCTTCGTTCGTCCTTGGTCCCTGGTCCCACCGGCGTCCCTACTTCGAGGAGACGTTCGGTGTCCGCCGACATCGCAAGGAGGAACAGGTTTATCTACATCGAGATTCCCCCCTTTTTTCGTTCGTCCGTGGTCCTTTTAGCCTTACCGACGTCTCTTGCTTCGAAGAGGACGTTCGATACCCAAGGACTCGCAGGGACGAACTGGTCTACCCTCACGGGTTCCCGTCTTTGTTATCCCACGTCCATCGATCCATGGTCATTTGTGGGATAAACAGGTTTATCTTGGCAAGGCTCCCTTGGTTCGTCTAGCCCCCTCCGCGTCTCTACTAACCTCTACATCGAGGGGCGTTCGTCTTCGGCGGTGGGAGAAGATCTGGCACGCCCGGGCAAGATTCCCTTCCACATAGGAGCTACCCTCCTCTTCTCCCCATCTTTTTTTTTTTTTTTTTTTTTTTTTTTGTTTTTTTTTTTTGTTTTTTTTTTTTTGAGGGAGGCAATCTATATTCTTCGTTCGTCATTGGTCCCTGGTCCTACCGGCGTTCCTACTTCGAGGAGACGTCCGGTATCCGCCGACATCTCAATGAGGAACAGGTTTATCTACATCGAGATTCCCTGGTGCTTCGTTCGTCCTTGGTCCCTGGTCCCACCGGCGTCCCTACTTCGAGGAGACGTTCGGTGTCCGCCGACATCGCAAGGATGAACAGGTTTATCTACATCGAGATTCCCTGGTGCTTCGTTCGTCCTTGGTCCCTGGTCCCACCGGCGTCCCTACTTCGAGGAGACGTTCGGTGTCCGCCGACATCGCAAGGATGAACAGGTTGTCACACATAATGGTGGTGCGATAGCGAACGAATATAATGACGAGGCGATAGAATAGCTGATCGTCATGCGAAGGCCCTGGCCACCCTCCTGGAGGGGAGTCGTGAGCCCGATCGCAAACTCAAGAGGGTCGGCATTGGGAGCCGACAAACAATGATCATAATGCCGCTGAGCAGTCGGTCCTGATAAGGAGATGACAATAGTGTCCGATCAGGCCGATATATCCACGCAACGGCTCTCATCCACGCAGGGCGGGGATGAAACCGGTCTTCAAAAGATAATATGTCGTGTCGAGAGGCCGAACATAACATGATAGTGTCGGCAGTGAGAGGCCGACCTGAAAGAATCAAACAACGGTCCTCGTCCGCGATGTGGCGGGGACGAGGCCGGTCTTCAAAAGATGAACACGCCGAGCCGAGGGGCCGGTCGTGGTATGATAGTGTCGGCCATGAGATGCCGATCAAGATATGGTCAAGCAACGGCCCTCGTCCGCGAGGTGGCGGGGACGAGGCCGGTCTTCGAATAAGATAATCACGCCGTGTCGAGAGGCCGGTCGTGATATAATGATGTCGGCAATGAGAGGCCGACCTAAAATCAAGCAACGGTCCTCATCCGCGCAGCGCGGGGACGAGGCCGGTCTTCAAAAGATAAACACGCCGTGCCGAGAGGCCGGTCGTGATATAATGATGTCGGCAATGAGAGGCCGACCTAAAATCAAGCAACGGTCCTCATTCGCGCAGCGCGGGGACGAGGCCGGTCTTCAAAAGATAAACACGCCGTGCCGAGAGGCCGGTCGTGATATAATGATGTCGGCAATGAGAGGCCGACCTAAAATCAAGCAACGGTCCTCATCCGCGCAGCGCGGGGACGAGGCCGGTCTTCAAAAGATAAACACGCCGTGCCGAGAGGCCGGTCGTGATATAATGGTGTCGGCAATGAGAGGCCGACCTAAAATCAAGCAACGGTCCTCATCCGCGCAGCGCGGGGACGAGGCCGGTCTTCAAAAGATAAACACGCCGTGCCGAGAGGCCGGTCGTGATATAATGATGTCGGCAATGAGAGGCCGACCTAAAATCAAGCAACAGTCCTCATTCGCGCAGCGCGGGGACGAGGCCGGTCTTCAAAAGATAAACACGCCGTGCCGAGAGGCCGGTCGTGATATAATGATGTCGGCAATGAGAGGCCGATCAAGTGTACCCATGCAATGGCTCTCATCCGCGCAGCGCGGGGATGATACCGGTCTTCAGAAGATGATAATCACGCCGTGCCGAGAGGCCGGTCGTGATATGATTGTGTCAGTTGGCCCTCGGCCGCGATGGTCTCCTCTAGGCCTTCGGCCTCTGAATGATGGATGATCGTCTCACGGTTCTTCGCCGTGACAGTTCCCTCTAGACCCTCGGCCTCTAGGTGTTCTTCCTAGGCCATCGGTCTCTGGGGTGGAGATGCTCATCCCACGGTTCTCAACCGTGGTGGTCTCCTCTAGGCCCTCAGCCTCTAGGTGGAGATGTTCGTCTCACGGTCCTCAGCCGTGATGGTCTCCTCTTTAGCTGGCCCTGAACGTCTTCAAGACTCGGGCCGAGCGTCTTTTAATCATTTTGCTCGAGCGCGTCGAGTGGCTTCAGCTGCGCAATAAGTATGGTAACGGGCCGCACGGCCCGACAATATGTATACACACATAACCATCTGCATGGCTTTCTCTTTAACATCCACGATTACCGGCCTATGGGTCATCGTGACCCTCGGCCCGGCTCATCGTGCGGGGTTAAGGGACGTAGCAGCTCGCGGCGAGGCCAATTAGCAGCCCGCTGAACGTCACATAGAAATACTCATTGGTCTGTGAGTTTTCAAACTCAGACCCAAGTTGGTCGCACCGCCCTCGGAAACACGAGGCCGAGCGCTCTGGTGCCCTTGGGGCCCCACAGGCCGCGTTTGGCAATAGTCACTTCGCGCCTAGCGGCGCGGATTACATTGGGGTATGATCGTCGATCGGGCACGTAGTGCCATGCGGATTAATGCGCACCCCTCAAATTAAAATGCGTCGTCGGGGCATCGCCCTTCCGGGGACGCTCGGATCACTTAATCAAGCTGATCGAGAGTGGGCCAACAGGCCCCACAAAAAATTAAATATTCAATAGAATATTGGCCGAACTAACTATCACTAGAGCCTCGCTCCGCATTATTTAATTCGGGACATTTTATCCCCAATAAATAATAGTGATATAACCGGTAGTAACAATGATATTATTCTATCAAAGGCCATTCAGGTATACTCCGTTCGCTAATTAAAGCCGATCAGGAGCGGGCCCACAGGCTCACAACAACCCATCATTAATTAAAATGACGGTGAAATTAATTATCACTAGAGCTTTACTCATTTGAGCCTTGCTCGACATTATTTAATTTCGGGATATTTGCTCCCTAATGAATAATGGTGATTAAATTAATAGCAATATTAATCATGCTTCAATGAAAAGTGAAGGAGTTAGAGCACTTAGCTTTGGAAAAGGAGGCTCGGCCAGCTAGGAATTTCTGAGATTTTTTTGATTCCCTTTTTCGATTTTGACTTGGTCATGGGTTTCCAACTCCAACCATTCAGCCACGAGCGTCTTGGACAGCCTCCTCGGCTTAGGCAGAATTCCCCCAATTTTGACTGGGTTAAATCTTCAACTGAAAGTTGGCCTTCCATTACTTGGTCTCAAACGTGCGGACGTGGTCCGCTTTAGACCAAGGTAGTTTATACGGACTCTTTACTTCTTAGAAAAGGAAAGGTGGAGCCAGACGCTGTTCGTACGTGCCGGCCACTCTCTGCCGGTAGAGATGTCAGTCGCAGCAGAGCAAGTACGGTCTGAGCGGCTAGTGTCTGGTATCTTTCTTGAGGTCTACACCACCGCTAACGGCGGGAATAAAATAACTCCCAGCCGACAGGTACCTCAGGTCGTGCCGGCACGGTGGCGGAGGTAGCTGTGAGCGGTGGGCAACTGTGTTGCAGGTGTTGCGAGGTCTGGGGTGCTGCAGTGCCTTCGTCTGCTACAGGTGAACACAAGGGAGGTTCCACAGCGGCCGGGACGGTGACGGCAGCTCCGGCGACCTCGAGTAAGATCTGGAAAGAATCCAGATTTGGACTTACAGCTAGCCAAGGAGCAGCAGCGAATGGTTCATGGCGGCAGCGTGGTCTCTGACAGAGCTCCGGCGGGCCCAGACTTCTGAAATTCCAGATCTGCAACTCTCATATCTCACGGACGTCTCCTTTTCCCAGAATCATTTCTTTGTTGTTGTTTTTGTTGAAATCAGTCCATTTCGTATGAGTTTTTCGTAGAAACTCAGTAGAAACTCAAGAACAGTAGAAATACATGAATCTTTTTGGACAGATTCCCACAGACGGCGCCAGTGTTGAGTTTAATCCAACACGATATAATAAATATATGTATGAACACTCAGTTTTTACGTGGAAACCCGAAAGGGAGAAAACCACGGGACTTTTTAGGCTAATGTCCAAGCCCTCTCATTCTCATTAGACTCTCCTCACCATTACATAGTACAATTTGAGCTCCATTAATGGAATCTTGCAAAACTATTCTAAAGGAAGAAGGAAGAAGGAAAGATCCCTAATATGGAGGGAAACTCCCATATTTATAGAGAATAGGGGAAGGGGATGCTCTCCGCCCTAATGGGCCGCATGGGCCGGAGTGGACCCAAATGGCTAAAGTGGGCCGGATGGGCCGAAATGGGCCTAGCTGCTCGGGCTCCGTACTACGTAAAGCCTTGGACTCCTGAACAGTAATAGGCCGGGATAATATATCCCAACACTCATGTTTACTTCAAATGATTTAAGACACCGTTTAACATTTAAATGTACAAAATAACCCTACACATATAGACACACAAACATTCATGTACACAAGTATATAATATAATACATGAGGGCCTCCTTGTGCGTGTACCCATATCCCTACCCCTACACGTACCCCGCACCAACACCCCTACCCCCAAGGCCCCAATTCCACACCCCGTCCCTTGACCCCCTTCCCTACCTCACCCCGTACCACGACCTCTTATTAGTGTACCCATACCCCCTGCCTCTAACCCCCTTACCCCTACCCGTATCCTCAACCCTAACCCCATACCTTGTAAGATACTAAGGTAGGGTAGAAGTAGGGGTGGGGGTAAGGTAGGGTAAGGGTAGGACAGGGATGGTTAGGAGTAGGGTATGGGTAACAATAAGGGGTAAGGGCAAGGGGCAAGAGTAAGGGTAAATTCAGGAAACTAAAAAAGCTTAAAGTCCCGCTTAATTAATACATGAGGGTGGTATGCTTAGTAAGCGGCACTTTAAGCACCTCTTTCGGTTAGTAAGCAACTTTTAAAGTAGCTTGTGTATTTATTTCATTTGTCTTACTAACCTAATTGTGACTTTAGCTTGCATATTTACTTCATTTGCAACGAAGTAAACAAGTCCTTAGACAAAGGAAAAAAAAGAAAAAAAAAGTAAACAAGTCCTTAGAGTATACTAGGCATTCTTCTACACTCATTCTCTACATTCTTTGTATCCATCTGGGGTGGAGAAGTAATTGTGCTTCAGGAGATCCGTTGAGAAATCGTTACGGTCAAGGAGATCTGTTGCCAAATCCTCATACATTTGAGGAGATCACTTGAAGAATCATCATATGGTTAAGGAGACCCAGTAAATCCCTACCCATAAGAAAGTGTGTGTTTGCCAAGGCGTTCCTTGCAGTGCTTTTGATCTGGTTTAAGAAATCGTGGCTCAAGAAATCGTAAAGGAGGTGCCTTTAGGTACTGGAGTAGGAGGTTCCTGAACTAGTATAAATCACAATGTCATCTCTTCATTGCGTTATTTTTTACACCACTATTTATTTGTGCTTAAATGTTAAATCTAATAATCCACATGTTTAAGCAAACTCACACACCCCAAATTTTAAAAATGGCCCACCCCAAGATATAAGAGGGACTTACATAGCAATCTTAATCAAGGATGTCAGATAGTCCGAGAAAACGATCCTGAGCTCTACCGGTATCCACACGCACGTGACTGGATCGGCCGCAGGGAACGCGCTAGCGTTCTCTTCTTTCTTCCTCTCTACTCTAGGTTGTAACAAGTGAATTTTAACTCTTAAAATTCGTGGGTCTATATAGCCCTATTTATAAGAGGGGGAAAGAAGGAGTTTTATAGCTAATAAAACTCTGCTAGAAGCCCTAGCCCAGTAACATTCAAAACCCTATTTCGAATTGGGCTAATCAGGCTATTTTAATGGTATTAACAAACATTAATGTTTCAAATCACTTAGGTGTGTGACCCTGTAGGTTGATGTATTATTGGTAGTGGCTAAAAAATTAATTCGAGCCTCACAAATCATAAGCGGCCTCTAGCAAGGCATTATGACTATCCAAAAAATATATAAATGTCAATTAAATTTGACATAACCTTTTAATGATTAATTTGTGCTAATAATTCTCTTTTGTCAAACGATATCTTAATTGAGACCAGGTTAGGTCGTGTCATCCTTGTTGTTCTCAATTAATATTTCTTGATTACAAAGTAAGATTAATTTTGATCAAGTGACACCTCATTTGAGCATGGTCATGCTAATTAATCGTACTTGTCAAGGGGGCCCAATAGATATCTCTCTCGCTATACAAGAGTGACAAAAAAATATCTTGATAATTCACATACTACTACATGGTTCATAATATGTACAATCACCACCTTTATAATTACCTATTTAAAGATAACATTTAATGGTGTTAATACATATTAATTCTCATGCAAGTAACCATGATTATCTCAAGTATAAGAATATAGCACCTCATCATTATTGAGGACAACACTGATGACATATAACCTAGCAGTGTCCTCAAGTTGGGTCTGTCCAATGAACTTGTACCCTAACAAACATCTATGTTATTAATTTGATATCTCTGTACCCATGACTAGTGGAATATAACCATCATTTAATCTACATACTGGTCTATTAATTATTAATGTCCCAAATTAATAATATTAGACCAGGTACAATTAGAATATTATGCTTATTTTAAAGTGTAGCATTCCACAATTAAGTCACATACTTAATTAGCTACTAAACATAATATTCATGGACTAAATATTAATAAAGAAAACTCAATAATAATTAACATAAAATGAGTTTGTGACTTTATTAATTAATGAGCATTAAATAATCATCGATAAATCATAAACTATGATTGTCCTAGGGCATATTTCCAACAGCCACACCAGACTATCAGGGCTCTCGTCTCCCGGAGCTAGCTCGCCAACCGTCGTGCCTCTCCTGCCATCCGTTGCGCCTCTCCCACCATTTGCCCTTCCCGTAGGTTACCGATTTTGCCTTTCTTAATTAAATTTAATAATTGATATTTATTAATTTTTTATAATTCATAAGTATGATTTAAAAAATATGTACGCATCAAAACATGCAGTGTAAACTAGTTAATGATTTATCGTGTATTATTGTATTATATTAAGATGACTATAACGAATCTAATGATTACGTATTATTGGTATGAAATTATGAATTTATAATAGTTTAAATTAATTATTATTTTTTGGTAATTATTATTAGGGAATGTTGATTGAGAATCCCCCAAATAAAGCACAATAAGTTTGAGTGCTAGTTCTTCAAATGTTTAGCACCATTACATTAGTGCTTTCGATTAAAGGGAAAATAATAATTAGCCTCTTAAGGTTTGGTCATAATTATAAAATCAACCTTGTATTTTCAGAACTGGATTATTAACCCCCTGAGCTTTTATTATAGAAGGAATCTCCCCCTTCCGTTAACTTTAAGTTAATTTGATGGTTAATTGTTAGAAGAATTTCCCAAAATGTCCTCTATTAAAATAAACTACGGAGTGTGAAACAAGAGCTTCTCAGGTTTATTCCAAATAGTATTCAAACAATGAATTGATGGTTTCGTTTCACATGCATCACTGCTGCACGCGTAGTTTATATGCTTTTCTCCTTTTTTACTTTTTTTTTTCTCCAACTTCATAGACTCATTCTTACATTAAAGGGAAATTAAAGAACCTTAGTTGACAGGATGCATATTTGTTGAGGCGTGCAATCGTCTGGGAGTTGATTTTGGCATGTGTTGAGTTTAATCCAACACGATATAGTAAATATATGTATAAATGTGTATGAACAAGCCATTTTTACGTGGAAACCCGAAAGGGAGAAAACCACGGGACTTTTTAGGCTAATGTCCAAGCCCTCTCAATTCTCATTAGGCTCTCCTCACCATTACATAGTACATTTTGAGCTCCCATTCATGGAGTATTATCTAATCTAGAGAGCTAAAGGAAGAAGGAAAGATCCATAATATGGAGGCTAAGCTCCCTATTTATAGACAAAGGGAAAGGGTGCTCTCCACCCTAATGGGCCAAACGGGCCAATATCGGGCCTAATGGGCCGAAATGGGCCTAGCTGCTCGGGCTCCGTACTGGATAATGTCTTGGGCCCCTGAACAGTAATAGGCCGGGATAATATATCCCAACACAAGTCCCCCAGTTTCTTGAGTAGTGAGCTCGCGAATCTGCTCGAGAAAATATACTCTGCCTGCGCTCTTCCTCTGTCTTGCTGGAAACTGTGTCTTCACATAATCATCATATATGAGTGAGTGTCTGCACTCCTGAACGTAATCTACCAGTGAGGCACCCCCCTTCCCGACAGGGTCGGGCGAAGGGTGCTCCTCCACGGGCACACTCCCCCTGAATGCATCAGGCGGGAGTAAAGGACTCTGACTCGAGCTTTCCAATCGGAGAAGCTTAGAGGTCCATCATCTATAACCCGACGTCGCGGTACTATCAAAACATGATGCACGTGTGTATGTATGAATGTATGAGGTATGATGCATGGATGTATGTATGCATGTAATGTATGTATGTAATGTATGAGAGAGGGAATGCAAGATGTGATAGAAGCAGTAGCTCTCATCGATAACACGGGCATGTCAGCGCCGAGAAGCAGACGTGCTGCATAAGACGGGTCCCCCATCCGAGATGGCATGGGCGGAGCCGAAGGTGGACTAGACATGATGCCACCGAGGGGCCAATCATGCTGCATAAGACGGTCGATCGCCATCCTGGAGGGGATGCGTGATCCGAACGTGAAAGAGACACGATGGCGCTGAGGGGCCGATCGTGCTGCATAAGACGGCCGTCGCCATCCTGAAGGGAATGTGCGAGCCGAACCGTGAAGCCAGGTACGATGGCGCTGAGGGGCCGATCGCACTGCATAAGACGTTCGTCGCCATCCTGGAAGGGATGCGCGATCCGGACGTGAAAGAGACACGATGGCGCTGAGGGGCCGATCGTGCTGCATAAGACGGTCGTCGCCATCCTGAAGGGAATGTGCGAGCCGAACCGTGAAGCCAGGTACGATGGCGCTGAGGGGCCGATCGCACTGCATAAGACGTTCGTCGCCATCCTGGAAGGGATGCGCGATCCGGACGTGAAAGAGACACGATGGCACTGAGGGGCCGATCGTGCTGCATAAGACGGTCGTCGCCATCCTGAAGGGAATGTGCGAGCCGAACCGTGAAGCCAGGTACGATGGCGCTGAGGGGCCGATCGTGATGCATAAGGCGTTCGTCGCCACCCTGGAAGGGATGGACGAGCTGAACGTGAGCTGGGTATGATGGCGCTGAGGGGCCGATCATACTGCACAAGACGGTCGTCGCCATCCTGGAGGGAATGGGCGAGCCGAACCGTGAAGCCAGGTACGATGGCGCTGAGGGGCCGATCGTGATGCATAAGGCGTTCGTCGCCACCCTGGAAGGGATGGACGAGCTGAACGTGAGCTGGGTATGATGGCGCTGAGGGGCCGATCATACTGCACAAGACGGTCGTCGCCATCCTGGAGGGAATGGGCGAGCCGAACCGTGAACTGGACACGATGGCGCTGAGTGGCCGATCGTGATGCATAAGGCGTTCGTCGCCACCCTGGAAGGGATGGACGAGCTGAACGTGAGCTGGGTATGATGGCGCTGAGGGGCCGATCATACTGCACAAGACGGTCGTCGCCATCCTGGAGGGAATGGGCGAGCCGAACCGTGAACTGGACACGATGGCGCTGAGTGGCCGATCGTGATGCATAAGACGTTCGTCGCCACCCTGGAAGGGATGAACGAGCCGAATGTGAGCTGGGTACGATGGCGCTGAGGGGCCGATCGTACTGCATAAGACGATCGTCGCCATCCTGGAGGGAATGGGTGATCCGAACCGTGAATCCGGACACGATGGCGCTGAGGGGCCGATCGTGATGCATAAGACGTTCGTCGCCACCCTGGAAGGGATGGACGAGCCGAACCGTGAAGCCAGGTACGATGGCGCTGAGGGGCCGATCGCACTGCATAAGACGTTCGTCGCCATCCTGGAAGGGATGCGCGATCCGGACGTGAAAGAGACACGATGGCGCTGAGGGGCCGATCGTGCTGCATAAGACGGTCGTCGCCATCCTGAAGGGAATGTGCGATCCGAACGTGAGCTGGGTACGATGGCGCTGAGGGGCCGATCGTACTGCATAAGACGGTCGTCGCCATCCTGGAGGGAAATGGGCGATCCGAACCGTGAATCAGGACACGATGGCGCTGAGGGGCCGATCGTGATGCATAAGACGTTCGTCGCCACCCTGGAAGGGATGGACGAGCCGAACGTGAGCTGGGTACGATGGCGCTGAGGGGCCGATCGTACTGCACAAGACGGTCGTCGCCATCCTGGAGGGAATGGGTGATCCGAACCGTGAATCCGGACACGATGGCGCTGAGGGGCCGATCGTGATGCATAAAAATAGTGATGATCATCTCATGGCCCTCGGCCTCTCGCGGCCCTCGGCCGTGCTGGTGATGTGTCAAGTCTCTCTCCTGATTGGCTGTGAGAAACCGATCGTCTGCCAGGACTCCATCCGGGAAGGAATGGTGAGCCTGAAAATAAATCTGGGCAATGTCTCTCCTGTCTGAGCTGGGGAGCTAATCGTCGTTCGTCTACCGTATCCGTGGTTCTATGTACGGACCGCTAAGCGGTGTACACTCGGCACGCACAGACTCCGATAAAGAACTGGTTCTTCGTGTCTGATCCATGGAGCTGGTCTTCGTTCGTCTACCGTAACCGTGGTCCTATGTACGGACCGCTAAGCAGTGTACACTCGGCACGCACAGACTCCGGTAAAGAGCTGGTCCATCGTGTCTGATCCATGGAGCTGGTCTTCGTTCGTCTACCGTATCCGTGGTCCTATGTACGGACCGCTAAGCAGTGTACACTCGGCACGCACAGACTCCGGTAGAGAACTGGTTCTTCGTTCTTCCCAAGTCTCGTGAGTACTGGTCTCCTGGTTTCGCAGGAGACGTTCGTCATCCCAACTATGAGAAGGAACAGGTTTATCCACGTCGGGATTCCCTATTCTTCGTTCGTCCTTGTCGCGGTCCTACTAATCTTCTTACTTCGAAGAAGACGTTCGGTCAACCAACGATCGCAAGGAGGAACAGGTGTATCCACGTCGGGATTCCCTATTCTTCGTTCGTCCTTGTCGCGGTCCTACTAATCTTCTTACTTCGAAGAAGACGTTCGGTCAACCAACGATCGCAAGGAGGAACAGGTGTATCCACGTCGGGATTCCCTATTCTTCGTTCGTCCTTGTCGCGGTCCTACTAATCTTCTTACTTCGAAGAAGACGTTCGGTCAACCAACGATCGCAAGGAGGAACAGGTGTATCCACGTCGGGATTCCCTGCTTCGTCGTCCCATGCTCGTGGCCCTACTAGCCTTCTGCTTTTGCAGAAGGTGTTCATCGATCCACGGGAAATGGGAGGAACTGGTTTATCTTGCCGAGGTTCCCTTTGGTACGTCTAGCCTCCCCCACGTTCCTACTAACCTCCGCGTCGGGAGACGTTCGTCATACGCGGCGAAGGAAGATCAGGCATACCTCGTCAAGACTCCCTCTCTCATAGGATCTCGTCTCCCCTTCTCCCCATATTTTTTTTTTTTTTTTTTTTTTTTTTTTTTTTTTTTTGCTTCTTTTTTTTTTTTTTTTTTTTTTTTGAGGGAGGAAAATACGTTCGTCGGTTCCAAGAATAACCACAAGTGATGTCACATATAATGTCATGCGAAGGCGATGGTCACCCTCCTGAAGGGAGGGGTGAGCCCGATCGCTAACTCAAGAAGGTCGGCATTGGGAGCCGATATACAATGATCATAATGTCGCTGAGCAGTCGGTCCTGATAATGGAGATGACAATAGTGTCCGGTCAGGCCGATATATCCGAGCAACGGCTCTCATCCAACGCAGCGCGGGGATGAAACCGGTCTTCAAAAGATAAATATGTCGTGCCGAGAGGCCGAACATAACATGATAGCGTCGGCAGTGAGAGGTCGACCTGAAAGAATCAAGCAATGGTCTTCGTCCGCGAGGGGCGGGGACAAGGCCAGTCTCCAAAAGATAAGCACGCCGAGCCGAGAGGCCGGTCGTGGTATAATGATGTCGGCAACGAGAGGCCGATATGAAAGAAATCCAGCAACGGTCTTCGTCCGCGCAGCGCGGGGACGAGGCCGGTCTTCAAAAGATGATAATCACGCCATGCCGAGAGGCCGGTCGTGATATAATGATATCGACAATGAGAGGCCGATCTGAGAGTGAGCACACAACGGTCCTCACCCACGGGGAGCGGGGATGAGGCCGATCTTCAAATATGGAAAGCACGCCGAGCCGGGAGGCCGGTCGCGATATAATGGTTTCGGCAATGAGAGGCCGATCTGACAGAATCAAGCAACGGCCCTCATCCACGAAGGGCGGGGACGAGGCCGGTCTTCAAAAGATAAACACGCCGTGCCGAGAGGCCGGTCGTGGTATGATGATGTCGGCAATGAGATGCCGAACATGATGTGGCAGTGTCGGCAATGAGGGGCCGATCTGCAATCCAGCAACGGCTCTCATCCGCGCCGTGCGGGGACGAGGCCGGTCTTCAAATATGGAAAGCACGCCGTGCCGAGAGGCCGGTCGCGATATAATGGTTTCGGCAATGAGAGGCCGATCTGACAGAATCAAGCAACGGCCCTCATCCACGAAGGGCGGGGACGAGGCCGGTCTTCAAAAGATAAACACGCCGTGCCGAGAGGCCGGTCGTGGTATGATGATGTCGGCAATGAGATGCCGAACATGATGTGGCAGTGTCGGCAATGAGGGGCCGATCTGCAATCCAGCAACGGCTCTCATCCGCGCCGTGCGGGGACGAGGCCGGTCTTCAAATATGGAAAGCACGCCGTGCCGAGAGGCCGGTCGCGATATAATGGTTTCGGCAATGAGAGGCCGATCTGACAGAATCAAGCAACGGCCCTCATCCACGAAGGGCGGGGACGAGGCCGGTCTTCAAAAGATAAACACGCCGTGCCGAGAGGCCGGTCGTGGTATGATGATGTCGGCAATGAGATGCCGAACATGATGTGGCAGTGTCGGCAATGAGGGGCCGATCTGCAATCCAGCAACGGCTCTCATCCGCGCCGTGCGGGGACGAGGCCGGTCTTCAAATATGGAAAGCACGCCGTGCCGAGAGGCCGGTCGTGATATGGTGTTGTCGGCAGTGAGAGGCCGACCTGAAGATCAGGATGGTCTCACGGCCCTCGGCCGTGATGGTCTCCTCTAGGCCCTCGGCCTCTGAATGATGGATGATCGTCTCACGGTCCTCCGCCGTGGTAGTCCACTCTAGACCCTCGGCCTCTAGGTGTTCTCCCTAGGCCATCGGTCTCTGGGTGGAGATGCCCGTCCCACGGTCCTCAACCGTGGTGGTCTCCTCTAGGCCCTCGGCCTCTAGGTGGAGATGCTCGTCTCACGGTCCTCAGCCGTGATGGTCTCCTCTTTAGCCGGCCCTGCACGTCTTCAAGATTCGGGCCGAGCGTCTTCTAATCATTGCGCTCAAGCGCGTCGAGCGGCTTCGGCTGCGCAATAAGCATGGTAACGGGCCGCACGGCCCGATAATAAATATGCACACATAACCATCTGCATGGGTCATCGTGGCTTCCCTCTAACACCCACGATTACCGACCTATGGGTCATCGTGACCCTCGGCCCGGCTCATCGTGCGGGGTTAATGGACGTAGCAGCTCGCGGCGGGGCCAATTGGCAGCCCGCCGAACGTCACATAGAAATATTCACCGGTCCGTGAGTTTTCAAACTCAGACCCAAGTTGGTCGCACTACCCTCGAAAAATGAGGTTGAGCACTTCGGTGCCCCCGGGCCCCACAGGCCGCGTTTGGCACAGTCACTTCGCCTAGTGGCGCAGATGGTACTAGGGTACGATCGTCGCTCGGGCACTTGGTGTCGTGCGGACCAATGCGTAACCCCCCAATTAAAATGCGTCGTCGGGGCATCGCCCTTCTGGAGACGCTCGGATCGCTTAATCAAGCTGATTGAGAGTGGGCCATCGGGCCCCACAAAAAATTAAATATTCGATAAAATATTGGCCGAACTAACTATCACTAGAGCTTCGCTCTGCATTATTTATTTCGGGACATTTTTATCCCTAACAAATAATAGTGATGTAACAGGCAATAATACCGATATTATCCTATCATTGGTCATCCAGATGCGCTCCGTTCGCTAATTAAAGCTGATCAGGAGCGGGCCGACGGGCCCACAACAACCAATCATTAATAAAAATGACGGTGAAAACTAATTATCACAAGAGCATCGCTCGGCATTATTTAATTTTGGGAGGTTTTATTCCCTAATAAATAATGGTGATAAAAATAGCAATACTAATATTTTAAACAACAATTGAATGTACCAACTTAAAATTAAGTATGGGTACTTAACTTTTGGGGATAAAGTCTCGGCCAGCATGGCTTGAATGCCAATTTTGACTTTGGTCAAAATTCTCCACAACTTTGCCCAAGAACCGAGGACTCCAATTATTCAGCCACGAGCGTCTTGGACAGCCTCCTCGGCTTAGGTGGAATTCCCCCAATTTTGACTGGGTCAAATCTTCAACTGAAAGTTGGCCTTCCATTACTTGGTCTCAAACGTGCGGACGTGGTCCGCTTTAGACCAAGGTAGTTTATACGGACTCTTTACTGCTTAGAAAAGGAAAGGTGGAGCCAGACGCTGTTCGTACCCGCCGACCACGCTCTGCCGGTAGAGATGTCAGTCGCAGCAGAGCAAGGACGGTCTGAGCGGCTAGTGTCTGGCATCTTTCTTGAGGTCTACACCACCGCTAACGGCGGGAATCAGATAACTCCCAGCCGACAAGTACCTCAGGTCGTGCCGGCACGGTGGCGGAGGTAGCTGTGAGCGGTGGGCAACTGTTTTGCAGGTGTTGCGAGGTCTGGGGTGCTGCAGTGCCTTCGTCTGCTACAGGTGAACACAAGGGAGGTTCCACAGCGGCCGGGGACGGTGACGACGGCTCCGGCGACCCCAACCCATCTGAGAAAATCCCAATTTGAACTCCCAGATTTCATTGTTTCCTTCTTCCTCCTTGCTTGCTCGATTGGGCAGGTACTGGTGGCAGCCACATTCCTGCCTCAGATCCGGAGCTTCCCAAGACCAAAGTTCCCGAACTTTTCTTCTTTTTGCTGAAATCAGTGTGTTTCTCGTATGAAAATTGTGTAGAACACGTGAATCTTTTTGGACAGATTCCCACAGACGGCGCCAGTGTTGAGTTTAATCCAACACGATATAGTAAATATATGTATAAATGTGTATGAACAAGCCATTTTTACGTGGAAACCCGAAAGGGAGAAAACCACGGGACTTTTTAGGCTAATGTCCAAGCCCTCTCAATTCTCATTAGGCTCTCCTCACCATTACATAGTACATTTTGAGCTCCCATTTATGGAGTATTATCTAATCTAGAGAGCTAAAGGAAGAAGGAAAGATCCATAATATGGAGGCTAAGCTCCCTATTTATAGACAAAGGGAAAGGGTGCTCTCCACCCTAATGGGCCAAACGGGCCAATATCGGGCCTAATGGGCCGAAATGGGCCTAGCTGCTCGGGCTCCGTACTGGATAATGTCTTGGGCCCCTGAACAGTAATAGGCCGGGATAATATATCCCAACAGCATGCATTCAACCCCACTTAGTCTAGCTGATGAAAATAAACTTCAAAACTTCATCAACATTCGTTACTAGTGGAGAATCATTGATATGAGAACCGGAAAGCAGACCGTTTGGCTTCTAGTGCAACTCCAAAAATTTAATTGAAGGAAGTTGATTTTCAAAACATTGTTCTGATGTGGGGATTACGTCCTACTCTTAAACCAAGTGAGTTGCGAAGAGTTGAAGCGACAAATATATACTCCGTACGTAGTATTAGAAAAGGTAATGAGTGTATTGAACAAATAATCCCTAATAAGGGTATATTGGTCAAAACAATGTCTATTTAACGATGTTTGTTATTGAGTCGCTTATTTTCTTAGTAAGATTTTGATGGAAGGGGGAGACAACATATAGAATCAAAGTTCAAGGGGTATATAGCTGTAATCTAAAATTACAAAGTTGTACTAGTAATTATGATCAAACCAGAAGGGGTTAATCATAAATTTCCCTTGATTAAATTTCTTATGGTTTATTGGTAGAGCTGTCAAAAGGGCCAACCCGACCCGCCCCCGTGACGGGTTATGCTTTATGTGGGTTGGGTCAGGCCAACCCATTTAGTGACAGGCCAAAATTTCTACAACCCTAACCCGACCCACCTAACTCGTGTGTTAAATGGGTATTTAATAAAATGGGTATTAAATTAACTAGTGTGGGCCAATGTAAAAAAAAATATGACAAAAGATTATTTAAAAATAATTACCATGGGGTATATATTTATATTAGTAAGTAGTAATAAGGGAAATATAAGAAATCAAAATACTAAGAACTTAATACTTGTTAAGTTTAATTAAAAAAATACTCCGTATTAAATACTAGTTATACGAGAATTTGAAAACTATTAGAGGGTGTACTGTGTAACAAAAATACTCATTGTATAAGGTAAAGATCTATTTAAACCTTTTGATTGATTATTTGTAAATCATGACTAGTAATTGCTAATTATATGTTTCAACACTTTATTTGAATATTTATTATAGAAATAATAATTATTTTGCAATTGGTGTAATTTTTTTTCTATTTGTAATTATACTACCTCCGTCTCGATGGACTTTGCCAAGTGCAAAGTAGGTGAGAAATAAGAATAGTAAAAACTGTGTGGTTGAAATTTGTGCAGAGGAGAGAGAAATGTGCAGAACCACAAATTATTTGCTTTAATAGGAAGATGACAAAGTTTTTTGGGACAGCAAAAAAAGGAAAGTTGGCAAAGTCTAATGAGACGGAGGGAGTATATTTTTGGTTGTAAAAGAACAATATTAAAGATAATAAAAGTCAAAACTATATGTTTGTATATTGGCCCGCGGCCCGCGGGCCATCCCGCAACCCGTTGGGCCAACCCACTTAAACCCACAACCCATTGGGCCAACCCACTTAAACCCGCGAACTAAATGGGTTAGAAATTCACAACCCTAACCCACCAATAAATGGGTTTAAACGGGTCAGCCCGTTACCCGCCCCCAAAACCCCCCGGTCCGGGTCAAGGGCCCGGCCCAGTACCGCACAGTGGCGGTCCAGTCCAGGTACCGGGCCGGTCCGACTGGTCCAAGCCTAATCCTAATTATATATAGGTTGCAAATCACCTCGGTTGCACTTTTAGTCTTTTAGATAGTGCTTATATATTTCTCTTAACATGTGAAAAGTGCACTTTTAGTTAAGCTACTTCACTTAAAGCAATGGTAAAAAATGCACTTTTTGTAAATACATGTGAGCATTTTGCAAATAAGTGAATCTTTTATAAAGGGGAAATCGCACTTTTAGTTCTGAAATTGTCACCATATTTAAATGTCAGAGCCGTGCTCCCCAGTTTGTAAATGTCACCCCTCAATTGTCCAAATTACTGTAACTGCGGTCCTTTAAGGGGTGAAATGTACAATGTGGACGAGAAGTACATTTTATCCTTCAAAGGACCACATTTACAGCAATTTGGACAAATTAGGAGTGACATTTACAAACTGGAGAACACAGGTCTGACATTTCAATATGTTGACTATTTTAGGAAGTAAAAGTGTGATTTTCCCTTTTATAAATGAAATAGTGCAGTGCATAAACATTAAAGTGCACTACAGTGCTGCAAAAGTGCATTTAGCACTTGTCACACATTAAGATATCTTTTTATTTGATCCGCACTCTATATATGTGCTACAGAGTATTATAAAGCAACTATATGTGCTACTTTGTCATTTCACTCAAAGAGCAGGGATAAAAGAATTCTAATACTCCCCCGTTCCTAAAAATACTTCCAACTTTTCTTTTTCGTCCGTCCAAAAAAGAACTTCACTTTTCCTTTTTGGCATAGAATTTGTGGTTCAGAGTCATTCTTACGCATTTCTCTCACCTCTGCACAACTCTCCACCACACAATTCTCATTTTCTTAATCCGTGTGCCATTTGTACCACGGAAGTAAATTCAGGGACGGAGGTAGTAACGTTTATACTGTACAATGTATATAAGGAAAACAAACTATTAAAAAGACAACAAAATCTTAACATTTGACGCCCTTATGATATTTACAAACTCCTTAGATAAGTTCACTCTTTGCTATTCCCCCACTCAGATAAGAATCAACAAAAGCTATGCTCAAGTTCAAGTAAGCGCAATAGAACTTGCAGACAAGTAGGCCTCTCATCAGGTTCCACCCAGCAATCTGCAAACGTCAATGTAAGACTGAATCTAACCAACCACGTTGCCTAAAATATAAAAAATATAAATGAATATCTAAATATGGTGTATCTTTTTGTTTTAGGTCATTGTACTTTTTTTGTTACTTGTCTCTGTAGTTCCTATCATTACCTTTTCACTCCATCCAACATGAAACCCATGAAACTCAAATTGGCTTTCCAACGTCATTTTTATTAATATGCTTACTAATAATGTATTTCATTTACTGAAAGGCGTTTATTAAAAGTGGACAGAGAGTCTTGCTTAGCCTCAACTCCCCTAGTAGCTACTGAAGTTAAAGAAAGTTAACTAAGAAACGCTACGTTTTAGTTATGTGACCGATCCACATTTCTTTGAACTGGGGTTGACAGAAACAAAAGAAACGCTATATCTGGGCAATTGGCTTTTCAAGAACCTGCTATAAGCTTTCCTACAGGACCTTTAGGGATATCTAGCCGCTTCCCGTCATTAGCGACAGCATATACAACCTGACAGAGAAACATAGCCTGTTCATTGACACTAACTATGAAAGAGAATGATAGTCTCGCAAACTCGCAGTACCGGGTGGTAATTACCTGGACAGATGGTACACCTTCCCATGGTCTGTTGAGCGTGTAGAGCTCCCATATTATTACGCCAAGGCTAAAAATATCACATTTTTCGGTAAATGGTTCATTACGTATGAGCTCTGGGGCCATCCATTCTGGAGTTCCGGCTGCTGAAGAATCTCTCATGGGTTTTGTAGCAAGTAACCTAGAGAGCCCGAAGTCACAAATCTTGACTTTCCAATGTTTATTTACAAGGCAATTTGCACTCTTTAGATCCCGGTGGGCAATTTTCATTCGGTGTATGTATATCAAACCCCTATGCAGTTAAAAAAATGTGAGGGTGTGTTTGGATCCCACAAAAGAACAGGAAAGTAAAAAAGACTGCAAAAGTTATTTTCTTATGCTTGGTTAGAAAATTCAAAAGAAAAATAAAATCTGATTAATTTTTAAGACATTTTTAGATATATTTAGATTCCTTCCTCTATAATAGAATAAAGTAATAAGATGAGTTTGACCAAATATTCAAATAACAGTAGATTTATTGAGTTTTGAATCTATTTTATTTTCCCTCAATTTTCCTTATGATTTTCCATTTTTCATCCCTGGTGCTTTAATAGACCAAAAGGACCCTAGGCATTTATGTGATTGGAAAAACATTACTTAGTTTCTGCCGGAGTCAATTGTAGACTAGCACACCTGCATATATCACAAAGCATTTTCAGCCTCCTTCGCCAGCTGAGTTTATTTTTTTGTCCACTTGCATGGATGAGATGATACAGTGATCCCATCTCCATAAATTCAGTTACCATGGATAAGCGTGGAGGTTTTGTGCAAGCACCAAGAAATAGAATGACTGCATGAGAAAACAGATTTATCCAATCATGTCTTATGTATATTACTGCTTCCTTTGCCCCACAAAAGAGTAATGTTTGAAACACTTTTTCCCCGAATAAGAGTTAGATTTTCATGTGATTACCAAAAAAGAGTCATAGACAAATTACATGTGACATGCTCCTATTAAATTAAAAGTGTGAAATTGTAAGTTTCATAATTTAAGACATCTGTACCTTTCCCAAATGTTAAACATGACTCTTTTTTCAGGAAGAGCAAAGAAAATTGATAATTACTGTGAAAAACTGAGAACTTATGCAGAATGATTTACCATTTGGATGGCGAATACGGCTGTCATATTGAGAGAGAAAAAATGGTCAGATAGGATGATGTTTCTATATTTTCAATTTTTTACTTCAATCAAGAGACCATACATAGAATAATAAGTAAAGTACCTCAATATAGATATTTCATTGGCAAAATCTTCAATATTTTCTTGGCTCAAGTCTTGTTCGAGGTAAACTTTTACTGCCACCTCTATCCCATTCCAAATGCCACGGAAGACTTCCCCAAAAAAGCCTACAAAAAGAGCAATAGTTTCATTTGATATAGACCTAAGACTCCATGTATACCATAATAAT